CTCCCACTCCCCCTGCTTGTGTTCCCTCTCTCGCTGTGTCTCTCTCTGTCAAATAAATAAATAAAATCTTTAAAAAAAGAAAGACTGTAGCGTGAAGCTCTCATTTCATCACCGTGGCCATATCTGACCCCTGAGACTGGGTCCCAACCAGCTGCCAAAGACCCCAACTTTCCTCTTCATAACACTTTTCCCCTTCCCACATCTATCACTACTGTAAGTGATTGGTTGTATGTTATTTGTTTAATGGCATCTCTCCAGGGGTTAGCCAAGGACCTAGAAGTTATCCTTGCTTCCTCCCTTTCCCTCATTCCCTACACTTAGCCCGTCACCTGTCTGGTCAGCTCTACCTCCAAAATATATTTCGAATCTTTCTACTTCTCTACGTCTCTACTGCCCCCACCTCTTCTCTATGTCTCTACTGCCCCCATCTCCCACCCAGACCACTACTGCAAACACCCTCTAATGAGCCTCCAGGCTCCCTTAGTGTCCCCTGCAGCTGATTCTCTGCACAGCAGTTGCAATCATCTTTACAGGAAATCCTAATGCCTCCCTGTTCTCACCAACTACAGAATAAAATGTAAACTCCTCACTATGGCCAGCCTGGTCCCCCTCCTTCTTCTCCTGCCTCACTCCCTGCCCTCTAACCATGTGGTTTTCTTTGCTGTCTCCACCCATGTCCAGGCTTTGCTTCTGACTGCTCTTTCCACCTCGAATGTTCTCCCAGATCTACCCAGGGCTGGTTCATTCTCACCTGCAAATACTCACCTTGGACAGACTTTCCTCAGTAACCCTACCTGAAGTGGCTCCCTCACCCAAATCACCTTCTGCCCCACCTCCTCAGTCATGGTACTCACAGTGTGTAATTATGTCTGCTTATCTGTCTGTAAGCTCTACAACTTACAGCAGGGACTTTGCCTGTGGTTTTTTTTTCTGCTATATCCCCAATACCAGCACCATGCCTGTCCCATGTGAGTACCTAATATTTATTGAAGGAAGTAATGAATGAATGCCTGCTCAATTGGTCTATATTTCTACATGGGTGGGGACCTTCTTCAATGCCTTGTGCCTTGCACTATTCTCAATGCTGACTATGTAGCTCAATAAAAACTGGTTAGACAAAATGGAATGCTTTTTTTTTCCCCCCTCTCATCACATTAGGAGGAGGCTCCAACTTTGAAGGGGACTGAGAGGCCTCGCTCTGGTAACTGGGGACCTAATAAGTCACCTATTTAGCAAATTTAGAGACAGAAGGGGTTAACCTTCATAATTAACATGGTTAACCCAACAACTAGGCAGAGGCCTGTGGGCTTTGCTTTCCTATCTGTGAGATGATGAAGGAAAGAGGGTTAAATAACATGCCTGCATGGGTTTTTTCCAGAATTATGAATCTGTGAGTGTTGGGTGCTAAAAGAAGGCTTCTGGGGGTGTCTGGGTGGCTCAGTCATTAAGCGTCTGCCTTCGGCTCAGGTCATGATCCCTGGGTCCTGGGATCGAGCCCCACATCGGGCTCCCTGCTCCGCAGGAAGCCTGCTTCTCCCTCTCCCACTCCCCCGCTTGTATTCTCTCTCTCTCTCTGTCAAATAAATAAATAAAATCTTTAAAAATAAATAAATAAATAAAAGAAGGCTTCTGACCCAAAGGAATGAGACCTGAACACCTCTTACTTGAATGGCACATTCTTCTGGTGAGGGATAGGCATTATTTCTTCCTGTAACTGCCATGCTGAGCACAAGGCCTGGCTACCTCCTAGGCATTTCATAAAGGGTAGAAATGAGGAAGAATGCCCAGCCCCCTTTCCCAGCTGGTCAGAATAGCTTAATTTGGTCATAATGGATTCAGGGTTGGGGGTCTTTCTTGTGCCTGTCACTGTTGGAGGGGAGGATTCTCATTCTTCACTGGCCTGAGGGGCTGGGCTCCTCTCTAGGAAGGAGGGAAGTCCTGACAGGCCTGAGTATCTGCCCCAGAGGGGCCTGTCCCACGGGGCCAGGCACATTCACCCTGAAAAAACAGCATGACTTTCCCCTGTGCCCGCCAGGCAGCAATGCCTTCCCCCACACAGCCTCATCACAAGGTTTAGTATTAATCAGAGATCAACATGACACTGGTAAACTCCTCACTGCAACAGAAGCTCAGAAGGGAGGGAACCTGCCCAGAGCCACACAAATAGATACCGGCTACCTAGCCCCTGCCGGGCTCATTCCCCTACCCTAGGAGGGTCACCCACCCCCCATACTCACTGTCAGCATCTGTGTGGATGGCCTCCACGAAGCGGGCATCTCCAGGGTCCAGGCGCTCCTCCAGACTGGCTTTGGTGTACTCCGGTCCAGCAGGGTCCAGGCCTGCTGGGACAGACTGATGTCAGAGGCCCCTTTCCTCTCAGCTGCAGCAACCCTCATGGACCATACACCCTCATGGACCATACACCTCTCGGGGCAGCCCTTCCCGGTCAGTTCCTAGAGTCCTCCAGCAAGGATCCAAGGGCAAGAGGACCAGCCCAGGACCACTGTACCCAGGAAACCCCATGTTGTTGTCTCCAACTCTCAATGACCCAGCTTCCTGGCTCTGAAATGAGCTTGATAACATCAACCATCTGGCAAGGGCTATAATATTAATCCTCATGTACTCAACACAACAGCTATAATTTTTTGAGCAGTTACTGTCTGCCAGTCCTTGTGCTAGTCCTCATAACAACACAGTGAAGTAAAAATTACTATCCTTGTGTCTTAGTTTGGATGCCCTTTTCTCTCTTTCCCAAAAAGCAGACCCTGAGACAAGGATTTAAAGCACAAGGAGCTGATTTGGGAGTAGATCAGAGAAAGTATAGTGAGGGATTAGAAAAATGAGTCAGAGTTTGGAAAAACGAATGTATTATCACTTTGCACAACTGGGTCTCATCTTACTGGCACCCTTCTGAGAGGCTCTGTAGAACATGACTCAGAATTGTCCTACTGAAGGGCCGGAAAGTGGGGGTATTTACCACACAACTCTAGTCCCTTATTGACTGAGGGAAGCTTCTGAAACATAAAGTCCCTAGTGCTTTTGCAAGTATTTAGCATAATTGTCTAAGGGTGATTTCCACAGTGGGCCAAGGCAATATGAGCTATTACAACTCATGTTACAGAGGTAGTAATTGAGGCTCAGAAGAAATACGTGGCTTCTTACACTGACATTAGAGATCACACAATAACAACACAATACCGTTTCATGCAAAAGGGCCACAATAAATTTTAGTGGAAACAGATCATTCAATCATAAGAACAAAGATCCCCTCTGCTTGCCTCAACAGAGGCATTTCCAGGGCATTCTCTCTCTATCTCTAAACTTGGGAGGATGGGCAGAGAATACTGTTACCTGTGATCCGTCCTAATTGGCCTTTGTAGAAATGTCCCACCATGCCCCCAACGTGGGCCCCCAGGCTAACACCAATGATGTGGATTGAAGACTCCGGTACACCCAGCACCTACAATGGGGCATTTACAGGGAATTACACATGGGTCACAGCAGCCTCTGGCCTCACAGGGTCACACTTTTCCCTGAAGCTTCAGAATCAGAGGACCCTGGGCATGACATCCCCCCACACACCTTCTTTGGGAGAAAAAGGCAGAATTTTCATCCCATTCATTACTTTCCCTCTTCCTAGACACCCCACCTTGACGATTGCCTCACTTTCTCTTTGGTGCCCAAAGTGTGTGAGTAATGACCATGGCCACTTCCTCTTGAGGGATTCCATATCTAACGTCAGCGGCACATTCTACAGAGGAGAAGCAGAGGCTCTGAGTGGGGCAACAACTTGCCCAAAGTCAACACTGTAAGTGGTAAAGTGGAGATTAGAAGGGAAGACCCACAAGCTACTGGGTGGCTCTGCTTCTGCCCTAAAGCTCCTCCTCATGTGTTGACTCTTTCTTTTTGTCCCCTCTCTCCTTCATAAGCAGCCAAAACTCACCCCCAAGCCCTTCAGCACCTACCAGAAGTTTTCTGAGGAAACGGGAGATCTCAAGTCCCAGCTTAACCACATTTTCCACGGCTGAGAAGTAGACACCTGTAGAACCATAAACCCAGTCCACAGCAATCACATTAGCATTTGCTGCCCGAAGAAGAGTGCCAATGAATTTATCAATCCAGGAAGGCTTTGTACCTAAAGCCCTACACAGAGGGCCAAAAAAGGATAGGAAAATTATCTGCCAAGCCAATATCCATTGTCATGGAAATGACAATGATACTCTCTATTAACAGAATAAACCCAGGGGGGAAAAAGGTCAAAACAAATAAGGGGGGTATATGGGCAATACATCTTACACCACTTTGAGCCTAGGGAGAGCATAATCCCAAAGTCACCAGGGCTTCAGCTTGCATATATGGAGCCTTTGTGTAAATTATAGAAAGGCCTTTTGTTCCAAGTAGATGCAGCCTCATGCCAGGGCCCAGAACTCAGGTTGGATTTCAGCCCCACCAGGCCTCAGTCGAGTACCTTGGTGCAGTGCATACTACATAAACCATATATACTGATACTGCTTGTGTTACTCATGGGGGAGAAAAGATAGCTTTGTACCTTAGAGTTATGATTTGCAATCTTAATTCTCATTCTATAATATAAGCACTCTCCTTGAGGGATATTTTTATTTACTTGTTCATTCGGTCATCCTTTCATTAATTCAATGAGCGAGGAAGTATGGTAGGTGCTTCTCTCCAGCTCTGTTGGCTATCTCCGGGTTGGGGGTACACACTCAGCCTTGGAGAGTGGCTGAATATAAAAGAGGAGAGACTTTGGCACAAGAGTGAGGAAGAATGCCTATGGAGGGATGTGGCTGGGTCCCTGCAGTCCAGTGATCTGAGAAGCAGAGAGAACCCAGAGACCATGAAATAGTGATCCTTTGTGCAATGGCTTTGTGTCCACCTCTTTCTTGGATGCCCCCATCTCTAGTTGCTCGATACTGCTACTATTTCACTGCATTCTCTTCTTCTTTCCTCCCACCAACCTTCCTCTCTTTCTGGCCTTGCCAATGGGCTCTGGAGAGATGTTGGAAGGATGGATGGTGGTTGAATTAAGACTCAGTATTGCAACAATATTTGGACTGTAGAGCATCAAAGAAACTGAAGAAGAGAAGTGTCTAGCACCTGAGGAAGGTTAACCTCAGGAGATGATGGAAGTAGCACCTGTGAGTGGAAGTTTCTTAAATCATGAAACCAGGGAAGAAATGAAGAAGAGGAAATAAACCTCTGGATAAAAACACCATGCTGTTACCCTGATTGCACAAAGCCTATGACCTCATTGGCTGAGATGAATCATATAACCCATGCTTCAGGGAGAAAGGGATCACTGAGACCATCTGTACAACTTCCCTTTTATTCAGATGTGGAAACCAAGGCTCCATGTGCTGGGGTGACTTGTTCAGGATCATACATATTTACTGTGTGAGAGTGTGTCGACAAGACTGAGCAGAGGAGTAATGTACATGACCAACAGGAATAAGCAACACAATGTGTGTTCATGTTGATATGAGACACCTTCAAAGGCAGCAGTAGGTGAAAGATGAAACATGAGACTGTCAGTAAATCCATTTCTCCTCTTGCTCCCCACTAACTTCCTATGGCATTATGGTCACTCTCTAGTTCCTAGCTGAGATATTTCTATTGGCTGATTACTCCCACCTGAATCCATGGATGAGTAGTTTGGTTCCTAGAGTGGCATTGAACCCAGAGTTTTGGATGTCACTACTTTCCTGCACTAGCTGCCCACAGCTGGGATCCAAAGGGGTGAAGAGGAGAAACTGGACTTTGAGATTGGTGCCTCGGAGAAGATTAGCGTTCTGGAAGTTAGTGCACTTTGTCTGTGGGGTAGGAGGTGCATCCCCTGGAGGAAAAAAGCAAAAAGAAAAACAAGAATGATCCAAGGTGAGGTCATCTGTTCTTAGAAGGAAGAAAAGTATTCTTGAGAGGAAGAAAGAAACAGGGGCTTACAAGCATTTATTATAAATCAGCTAGTGCAATATTCAGACTAATTTATTAAAGACATCACTTCTGTAACCAAAATCTGTGAATAGTTTTCATATCTAAAGATACAATGCCAGAAAAGGATATGACTATTACTCAACCAGAAAAGATTAAAGGCCATGCATGGTGAAGTGGATATTGTTATGAAATAAATTGAGTTGCCCCTATCAATCCATAGGTTGAAGTCCTAATGCCTGGGACCTCAGAATGTGACTGCATGTGGAGATAGAGATTATTATATTAAAATGAAGCCAATAGGGTAGGCCCTAATCCAGTATGACTGGTGTCCTTGAAGGGGAAATTTAGACACAGACACAGAGGAAAGACAACATGAAGACACACGGAGTAGAAGGCCAACTGCAAGCCAAAAATTAAATCAAATAATGTCATGCCTCTATGCAAAAAAAGCCTCTAAGGCATTTCCCTCAGAATGAAATCTGAAGTTCTAACAATGGATTGAAGCCCTGAATGGTCTAAACCATGGGCTCCAGGAGCACTCTGCCTGTCCAACTATTGCTTCATCTGTTCTGGCCACATGTCCTCCCAGGTCTTTCTCACTCTACACAGTCCTAGACCCCCAGAGGGTGTTTGCACTGGTCATCCCTTCTGCCCGGAGTGTCTTTCCACAGACATCAACATGGCTACCCCCCCTTCTCCTTCAAGTCTTTGCTTGTCAAAGGTAACTAACTTGTTTGAATTGTTACCTTCCTGTGCCCCTCACCCAAGTTCTCTCAATCTTCCTCATCCTGATCTATTTCCTTTTATAGAAATCATACCCTTCTAATCTCCTATGGAATTCACAAGTTTATCATTAAGTGTATTGTTTATTGATTTCCCTACATTAGGATATTCTTTCAAGAAAGCAGGAATTTTTATCCATTTTGTTCACTCTCCTGCCTAGAATAGTGTCTGCCACAGACAATTAACATGAAAAGCTAGTTCTTTGAAAAGAATAATAAACTAGATGTACTTTTGATAAGACAGAGTAAGAAAAAAAGAGGGAAGTCACAGGTAAACAATATAGAGAATAAAAAGGGGATATAAATAGAGTAGATTTTTAAAACCATAAAAGAACATGTTTATACCCACCCAAAAGTTCAAAATACAGATATCTTCCTAGAAAATGGACAACAATTTCCTGGAGAAGTATAGCTTACTGAAACTTAGTCAAGAAAGAAAAAACAGAAAGTCAAATGTAAAACTGTAGCATTAGGGAATTGAAACAGTAGTTTTCAGTCTCTTCATCAAAAAACTCTACTGGGCCCAACAGTTTTACAGAAAAATTCTACCAATCCTTCAATTCTTATCACTGTTCTGGTGAATAGAAAAGGGGAGAGAGAATCTAAATTCATTCTATGAAAATAACCAAAATATCAAAACTGGGCAAGGACAGAAGGAGAAAGGAAGACGAAAGCCAATTTCACTCTTAAACAGAGACATAAAAACCCTGAATTAATTATCAGCAAATCTAAGCCCATCAAGGATAACAAGAACTAAACACACATCATGGCCAGGGTTTAATCCAAGGAATGAAAAGATGGCTTAACATTAGAAGATGTATTAATGTAATTCATATATGAAAAATTAAAGAAAAAAAAGATATATGCTCATCTCAATAGATGTAGAAGAAAAAAGCACAATAAAATTTAATACCCAACACTTTTAACCTAAGAAAAAGTGTTTACCAAGAATCTATAGCAATGACTATAGTTATGGGTGAAACATTAGAAGCATTCCATTTAGAACTGGAAACAAATGAGAATGTCTGCTATCAGTGCTTCTATGAAATATTGTCCTGGAAGGTCTAGTCCTAGCCAGGGAAACAAGACAATAAAATGGGATCAAAGTTACAAATTTTGAAAAGGAGGAGAGATAATCACCAATATTTGCAGATGATAGAAGAAAACTTTTGATCACTTGGGAATATGGAAGGTGGCACAGTGAATCATGCTCAGATATCCCCTCTCCCCAACTGCCACTCCAACCAAAGACTAATCGTAGATGAATATCAAAAGAGAAGAGAGAAAGACATAGCCAATCTCAAATATAAAGATTATATCTCTGTAAACAAGAACAGAATTGCAGGATGATGCTGGGTTCCTAGTCTGGGAGAAGGCAGCTCTGTGAGGTAAGTGGGGTCCTAGAGTGCTCCAAGTCAGGTGTGGAAGAACAGCACCAAGCCCACCTGTGGTAGTGGGGGGAGGGGCTCCCCAACTTAGTAAAGGAAGCTAAAAACAAAAGCAATACAACCAAAAAAATAGCTATAGTCCTTTTACTTGGGGCTATAGCTTTATTTAGGGAGACAGGATGGAAAAACAAGGCCTCACTAATAAGAGCTGAGACAACCCGCCCCCAACTGGAGGAGAGAGTCTAAAGATGAGAAGGTGTGGGAGGCAGCTGGGTGGCTCTAGTCAGTTAAGTGTCTGACTTCAGCTCAGGAAATAATCATCCTGTGTCCTCCAATCAAGCTCTGTGCTCAGCGGGGAGTCTGCTTGTCCCTCTCCCTCTGCCCATCCCCCGCCCCTGCTCTCCTGCTCTCTTTCAAATGAATGAATAAAATCTTCAAAAAAAAAAAAAAAAAGATGAGAAGGGGAGGAGGTGATGGGAGGGAATGGGGGGGAGGCCAAACACAAGCATCTCATTGAACATTGAAATGAGACTGATCTATTGTGTTAGAAGTCAAGATAATAGTTATCTTTGGGGTGGCAATGATTAAGAAGGGATACACGGAAGGGGTTTTAAGAACCTGGTAATGTTTTATTTCTTGATCCGGATGATGGTTACAGAGGTGCATTCACTCTGAAAATTCATTAATCTGTATACTAATAATCTGTGCACTTGTCTGTATATATGCTGTACTTTAATAATGAATTTACTTTAAAAAATTCTGCAAACAAAATGCCTAAATATATACAGAAATCGAATGTTTACAAAGATAGTCAAAAGCCAATAAATGAATCATGAATTCATTCCAGGTAAAATAAGGTTTTAAAAGCCTTTGACATTGACTTTAAAATAAGTATGCTGAGAATCTACAAGGATAAAAATAAAGACAGAGAATAAGAAATCATGATATAAAAACAGGCATAGATGATAAGATATATAGGAAAAAACTAGTTCAAAAATTGGAAATGAAAAAGATAACCATTGAAATAAAAAAGGAATCAATACTATAATTTTTAGTACAGAAGTAAAAAACTTTTTAAAATTTATTTATTTTAGAGAGAGAGAAAGAGAGAGAGCACAAGCAGGTGGAGGGACAGAGGGAGAGGGAGAGGAAGAATCTCAAGCAGACTCCATGCCCAGCACAGAGCCTGATGCGGGGCTCAATCTCATGACCCTGAGATCTTAACCTGAGCGGAAATCAAGAGTAGGATGTTTAACCAACTGAGCCACCCAGGCGCCCCAGAAGTAAAAAAAACTTTTAATATGAAAGTATAGTTAAAAAGTATAGACAATAGATGGAGAGGTTCCAATTTTTATCTAGTAGCTATTCTATAAAGGAAGAGAATAGGAGAAGCAGCAATATTTTGAAAAGATAATTGTTAAGAATTTTCCATAACCGAAAAAATATATGAGTTCTCCAATCAAAAATTACACTCAGGGTAATGAGCGAGATAAAAAATAAACAGGGGCAACTGTGTGGCTCAGTCAATTAAGCATCCAACTTAATTTCGGCTCAGGTCATGATCTCAGGGTTGTGGAATTAAGCCCCAAGTGGAGCCCCATGTGGAGCCCTGCGTCAGGCTCTGCACTCAGCAGGGAGTCTGCTTCAGGATTCTCTCTCTCCCTCTGCCCTGCCCTTCTCAAATAAATAAATAAACCTTTATAAATCAATCAATCAATCAATCTAAAGGTATAGTATAACACCAGAACATCACAGATAAAAAGATATTTTTAAAAATTCCCAAATGCATTGGAAAACTTTGAAGAAATGGATAATTTTCTAGAAAAATATAATTTAGTGAAACTCACTCAAGAAGGAATTGTAAGCGCAAATAAAACTACTAGCATCCAAACATTAAATTGGTAATCAAGAGTCTTCTCTGGCCCTAAAGTACACTAGAGCTAGATGGTTTTATCTGAGAACTCCACTGCTTTAAAGTACAAGTAATCTTTATCTTATATAAACTGTTCATAGAATAAAAACTTATTTCATGAGGTTATAATAATCCTAGAATCAACAGGACATGGGTAATACAAGAAAATGATAGATAATTTTTTATGGACATACATGCAAAATAATATATATAAGTATATACAAAAATAAAAATAAATTTTGGCAAAATAAAACAGCATTGTATTAAAAAACACACCATGATTAAAGGGTTTGTTCCTGGTGATCTTAGTCTGATTGGGCTAGCCCATGGGGCTTAGAAGAAAATATGAAAAATTGTCTTTATAGTAAGAGTGCTTAAACAAGACACCAGAAGCACAAATCATAATAAGAACTAAGAATTAAGACAACAATGTAATGACTATTTTTTCTATCAAGTTGACAATATGAAAAACGTTTGATACTACAAACTATCGGCAGACAGGGAAACAGCCATGCTCACATACTAATAAATTGCTACAACTTCTTTGCAGGGCAGTATTTCCCACATCTATCAAAAATCCATAAGACAGGGACGCCTGGGTGGCTCAGTCGTTAACCGTCTGCCTTCGGCTCAGGTCACGATCCCGGGGTCCTGGGATCGAGCCCCGCATCGGGCTCCCTGCTCGGCGGGAAGCCTGCTTCTCCCTCTCCCACTCCCCCTGCTTGGTTCCCTCTCTCTGTGTCTCTCTCTGTCAAACAAATAAAATCTTAAAAAAAAAAAAAATCCATAAGACAGAAATCCTTTCGGATCTAGTATATCATGTATAAACGGCCATTTAGAGTAACAAGATAGCTCTGTGTGTTCATATGGCAGAATTTCACACGAACACACAAATTTTATATACATATAAGGAGGCCATTCTATACACACACACAAATAAGTGCTTGAGAGAAAGCACACATGAAGCTAGCAGCACCTTTTAAAAGCCATCCACTAATGCAGGGGGTGAATGCACTCATGCACTCTGAACTTTGGAGCAGGGAGGGGTGCTGAGAGAGGCATGAGGTGTTGCAAGAGAGGGAAGAATTGCAGCGGGCCTCCTGGAAGATGTGAAGAGCATACATCAACAAAAAGGTATGAGCAGCTCCAGACAGAAGAATTGACACATTCTAAAGCTGGGGACTGACAATTAAATGTCTTGTGAACACGACTGAATAGGGGCCTGCTATGGGGAATAGGGTTGGGGGCGGGGAGCAGCTTTCCAAGGGGAAGGACCAGTGCTCAGAAGAGAGGGATCTTCACCAGCCAGAGAACCTCCAGGCCACGGGAGTGTTTAGGAGTGTTTAGATTTGCTACATTAAGACAGCAGGCGTGGTGGGTGGGGTTTTTACCTGGGGAAAGGTAGAATGCAAGTAGCACCTGCGGGAGTTTTTTCTAAAGGTCATCCTGTCATCTGCAGTTAGCAGGGACTTGCTAGCATAGTCCCACCAAGAAGGACGACAAACCTAAATTTGAGTTGAGTCAGTGGATTAGCAAGGACATCTACCGTTCACAATGCCAAAATCTCTGTTAGTCTGGAAAAGTAAAAAAAAAAAAAAAATTTTTTAAGATTTATTTATTTATTTGACAGAGAGAGGGAGAGAGAGCACAAGCAGAGGGAGCTGGAGAGGGAGAAGCAGGCTCCCCAGTGAGCGGGGAGCCCGATGAGGGGGCTCGATTCCAGGACCCTGAGATTATGACCTGAGCTGAAGGCAGACGCTTAACGACTGAGCCCCCAGGCGCCCCATGGAAAATGGTACACTGGATATTTATAGGGGGAATGTAAATCATATTTTGGAATTAATCAAGTCTTATTTTTTTAGAGTCATCCTGGCTTGTGCCAGGTGAAGAGGATTAATGCAGCTTTTAGAGAAAAGAGTACAAGAACTAGGGGGCTTGAGAGAGTATCCTGGTCGCCATCAGTCCCTTTATGATTGTAGGGTTTTTTTCATCCCTCTTCTAAATTCATCTCAAGAGAGGGCTTTTAGGGGACCTTCCAAAGGTTAACACTGCATAAATAGATGGCTTAAGAACTAGAACCTCCCAAATTAGCTGAGCTAATTTGGAAATTCCACCCAATTAGCCAAGTCCCCAAATTACCTGCACTTCCAATGCTGAGCCACAAAAGGAGTCCCCATGAGCAGAACTGTATCTTCCTGAGACCTGGGGGCATCGCTGAGCTGCAAGTCTCAGAGCTGGGGTGAAGCCGACTCCTACAAGCCAGCCTCTCAAAGTTTTGGACACCAAATACCCGCTTGGGTGGCACTAATCATTAACTGGCCTCTTGACCTGTAAAAGAAAAATGAACTCTCCCTATCTGTTTAACCTCCACAGTTAGTTGGTTTCTTCTTCTCAGTGAAAATAAATACACTTTTCTTTTCTTTTTTTAAAGCAAGGGATGTTGAAACACCTTGTCCTTCCTCTCTGAGCCAAACATCAACAGGAAGTGATTTCCTGCACCTCTCCCACTTCCCATTGCAAAATGTTAGTAAAAGCCAAGGCAGGAGTCTTTCATCTCGAGGTGATGACAAAATCCTCATCGTCCTGGAATCATCTGTGGACATGTTTGTCTCTCTAGGAAGACTCTGAGCAGCTTGAGGGCAAAGACTTTCTCCTTTCATTCTCCTTTCAGTTTTTGTTTTTGTTTTCTTGAGCGAGAAAGAACATGAGCTGCGGGGGGGGGGCGGTGGTTAGAGGCAGAGGCAGAGGAAGAAGCAGACTCCCCACTGATGGGGAGCCAGGCAACAACTGGGACCATCATCGATTAGGGAGCCTGATGCAGGGTCAGCCCCAGGACCCCGGGACCATGACCTGAGCCGAAGGCAGACGCACAACCCATGGAGCCACCCAGGCGTCCTCCTTTCAGTTTTGAACCCCCATGGCCTAGAACAGAACTGAACCGATGTGTCTAGTGTACATTTAACAGAAAGAGTAGAAGAATTCGAAGTTTGCCTCTGAGAGTACTATCCTGTCATAGACTCTTGGAGCTAGAAGTAAAGCCCAGCCTCTAAAAAGAGACGTTCACCTTCTTAAATTCGTGAAAACAGAAACTGGACGGTAGAGAACAAAAGTGACCTACAGAAACCCTGTTGCTAGAAGTGGCTGAGCTGGCCTGGAACCAGGGCGTTTCCAGTGTGCCACATGGCCTCTCCACCCGAAGGAGTGGCAGAAACCAGAGAGAGCTTAGTCTGGGCAGGTCAGGGGCAAGGGGAAGGCAAGGTACTTGCCCAGCACTCCTGAAACTGTAGCACGCTGCTAGGGGGCAGGGAACCTGCCAGCAGGGCAATGCTAAACGTTTCGGATGATAGCTCCGGGAGGTGGGTACAGCTTTAGGGCCTAGAGAGGTTAAGTAACTCGCACCAGGCCATGTGACATTGGAACAAGCGAACCCCAGTGTCCATACCAGGCAGGAACAGCCCCCAAAGAGGCACTGCTGGCATGTTAGCATGGCCAGGCTGAGGATAAATGGTTTGGGAAGGGCCAGCCCTGGCTTTCCCTCGTGCACGTGATCCCAATGCTCAAGCGCAGCTGCCACCAGGAAGGCGAGGGGCAATAAACAGGGCACGACCAAAGGCTGTTCTGCTGTCACAGACCACGCCAGGGGTGGCAGTCCAGGTCCTCGGGGAAGAGATGCCAAGACGGGACTAGATGTGAAAGAGATTTACTGGTGATAACATCTGCAGAGAATAAGGGGCGCTAAAGAAGTTAGAGACAGCCCTTAGACAGAGATGCAGGTCAGACACCTGTGGAGGAGAGCGGGCAGGAAAGAGGAAGACATTGAAAAGTCTTGGACTTCCTCACGGTTCCTGGAATGTTCTGGCAAGGGAGATGGGGAATCCTCAAGCTGAAGCTTCTCGTTAACACAGTCCTGTGTCTTCTATGCATGAACCTGGGGATTAGCTCTCCATCCTGCTCTGTCACTAGCTGGGGTCAGTCTCTGCACAAAGACGAGGGGAGATCCAGAAAGGTGACAACTGGGACCATCATCGATTAGGTTCCCCGTGGCAGCAGACCGAAGGCTGCATTTTCACAGCCACTTACACCACCTCCAGAGCGGGCACGTCACACCAGTTACTCCAATTATCCCAGCATGGTATTCCTTGTGGGCATTATTAACACAGCTGACATTTAGAGAGCACCTTCCCTTTGCCCTTCATCATCTGGAACAGTGCTCTCCAGGTGGGGCTGGAGTGCTCCCATGCAGGACCTCCTGCCTTAGCATCATCCAGGGGACCTGAGCCCAGAAGCACTGAATGAGAATCTCTGGGGTTGGGCCCAGGATTCTGCAGTTCCGGCATGTTCCTTAGATGTCTGTACACATGCTAGAACCACTAGTTTTCTGTTAATTTTACTACGGTCATCTCCATTTTACCAGGGAGGAGACTGAAGCTCAAAGAGCCCAGCATGTGGGGAGCCCAGCTGCAAAGGGCCAAGGAACGGGGGGCCTCCTAGAAAGCGAGGTGGCAGATTTTAGAAAGTTAGGTCAGGAGACACTGAAGAGCACCAGTTATATTCAGTGTATATGGTCTGTCTCCTCCAAGGAGAATGTCAGCCTCAGGACAAAATTTGGGTCTCTTTTGCTCAATGAGGTATCCCTAGAGCCTAGTGCAGTGCCTGCCACACAGCTGGTGCTCAGTATTTGCCAAGGGAAGGCATGGTACATCTGATAGAGTGTGCTCGTCTGGAGAGGACAGCGGCAAGGGGCCGGATCTGAGATGACACTTAGGCCCCCATTGTCATGTGCAGTCAGATGGCTTTATTTGCCAAGGATCCGAAAACACGAGGAGGCAAGCAAGAGACCAAGGATGGGTGTTCAGTATCCAGTGCTCAGAGTTCCCTGCTGTGTGCTCAGTGCTTGGAACAGTGTCTGGCATACAATAAGTGCACACAAAATATTTGTTTGGAAAAAAAAAAGAAAGAGAGAGGGTGCCTGGGTGGCTCAGACGGTTAAGCATCTGCCTTTGGCTCAGGTCATGATCTTGGGGTCCTGGGATCAAGTCCCACATCGGGCTCCCTGCTCAGTGGGTATCTGCTTCTCCCTCTCCCTTTCCCTCTGTACTCTCCATCTCTCTCTCAAATAAATAAAATCCTTAAAAAAGAGAGAGAGAGAAGAGGAAGTGAAGGGAGAGGCTGGGGGGGAAGAGAGGGAGACTTCTAGGCTACCACCCTGAGGGGCAACCATCATGCCCACTGAATCCCCCTGCAGCTCTCCCTGTCTGCCTATTCCCAGCTCAGATTCCCTGCTCCCTTGCCCTCTGTCAGGATCCCTAGCTAACAGCTCCATAAGTGAATATGCCTTTATTTATTTCTGTGTGTGTGTCCATGTGTGTCTGTGGAATCACTGCATTCACTGTGGGGGTGGGGGCGCGGGCATATAAACTAGTGTAATAACCAGTATGAACCAATTCTAGGAAATAATTCTAGGCCTCACCAGCTTAGGACTACAAAATGAGGTCACATTAATTTTTAAAGTGTGACTCCATGGGTTCACCAACTCAGAAGCTCTCTAAGCCTGTTCTTTTGAGATTTTATGGAAGTTTCATCATGTAGGCATGATCAATCATTAACTCCATTTTTTAGCCCCTCTCCCTTCAAGAGAATGGGGGGCAGGGCTGAAAAATCCAAGCATCCAATCACGGCTTGGCCTTCTTGGTGACCAGTCCTCATCCAGGAGTCATCCAGGAACCCACCCAGAGTGACCTCATTAGAACACAAGACACTCTTATCACCCAAGAATTTACAAGGGTTTCAGGAGCCCTGTGTCGGGAACTGAGGCCAAAGACCAAATATTAGAACTAAAGATGCTCCTAGCGCTCTTATAATGTAGGAAATTACAGGGAGCTCTGGGATAAGAACCAAGGACAGAGACCACTATATATATTTTCTACTATCTCACACCTAGTCTCATCCTCACCACAGCCTTCAAGGTAGGCATTGTTGGCTCCAAAGTACACTAGCCCTCAATAACCTGAGGCTCAGAGGGGTAACCATCATGCCCAGGAGCAGTGCCGGGTGTCAGTGGCAGGTCTTTTTGCAAAATAGCACAGAATGTGCCTTTCCTTAGGTCTAATTACCCCATTCCTGCAAGAAGGAAAACATGCATGACTTCAGAGAGTGCCTCCCTCCCAGTTTCCTGGATTCAGGACTGGTGTGAAATAAGGGACACCAGAAAGCACATCTCAACTCAAAATGTCGCCTTCACTAGAGCAGGCTCCAGTAGACATCATCCTGCTGGAGATTCATTTGTTTGCTTAAAGTCATGTTTCCCAGTTTCATTCATTCACTGCCACCTTCCCTATTCTTGCCATGTCCACTTACCACCTGTGCTTACATGTCTTTCAAGTTTTCATTTAAATAAGCTTTCATAAATGTACTTTAGTAGGGCAGTTTATATCAAAGAGAAGACAAAAGACTAGCCCCTGAAGTGGTCTGACAAGCAGACTGTGTCACCTCCGCTTGGTGGCATTAGCAATGGGAGATGGTTGTCCATATACCATCCAAAATGAGGCGACAGCATGGTTTGAAGCATGGCCCTCTGTTCAAAGCACAGACCTCTATCCACAGCTCTGTAGCTCAGGAGAAACCATAGCGTTCTTTATTGGACTCTGTCCCAATCTTCAGACAACCTCATTTTTGACTCATGTTCTTTGGATGTTAGAGTTGAAAATCCATGGGCGCCAAGCCCAGAGACTCTGAGAGTGGACGCTTGCCTGAGACCGCCCTGCCTGTACAGATGATGATATGGAAAAACAAAAGGTTAAGTAGGACCCTTAAGAGGGGCAGGTGTAACCAAGCACAGTATGGAGAGAGAAGTCCCAATTGTGGCCCAGGGATTGGGTGGGGTGCCTTTGTGTCAGAGGAAGAGGAGGCTCTCTGAGGAGGGGAGGGATGCTGAGAGGAGAGTGAAGATTCTGTCCATTTCACAGTCTGACCTGGCCTCCGTTCTGCCCCTCCCTATGGCTGCACCCAAATCCACATTTGAAGCCCTGACTTCACCTCATAGTTGTGGAGAGGTGAACAGAGGGCACAGGCTTCTGCCATCACCATGGAACTCTTGGGTTTCATTTTGGCCTTGTCTAAGGAAAACTTTCTAACTACAGCTAACAGTTGTAGTGTGATAGGACTAAAGACACATGGCCTCGGTTTAAACTGCAGCTCCTTCTCACCTAGATGTGTGACCTTGGACAGATGGCGGCTTCTCAGAGCCCAATTACGTCATCTGTTAACGGGTCGTGATGGGCAGCACTTTCTTCCTCTTCTTTTTCCTTCTCTAAATGGGAAGAGTCTACCCTACTCCCCAGGTGTCACTTCTCCCAATCCCCAAACCCTAAGGATGAAAAATGATGGCAGGGCTCCCCACTATGCCCTATCTGGATGATCCCTGGATT